AGAATTGTGCAAGAAGTTGACAGAGGGGTTGAGTGACGAGAACAGGCTCTACACACGCCACCAGCAACCATACATCTCCCTTGGTTACTTTGACAACAGAGGTGGAAGCTTGTCTCTGGAAAAGTACGACGCGAGGCTGATCATCCCACCGGGCGCCATTCCAGCAGGCCCTCCGAAGATGGTGTATCTCTTCACCAGCCCATCTCCGGTGACGATCGAGGGGCTTGAATCGATAGAGATCTCCCTCTCATCGGTGATACAGTGCGGTCCTGAAGGGTTGACATTTGAAGAGAGCGTGGTACTGACTTTTCCTCATCACGCTGCGATAACAAGAGAAGTCGCCCCGGAGATTCGGATGCGTCATAACGATTCTTCGCCTGGAAAGTGGGAAGAGTTCGACGGGAACATTGCTTTGATGAATGAGACGCATGCCATTCTTCTTGTGAATCATTTCACTGAGTTTACTGCAGTAGGCGTCGTATCCCCGCAAAGCACCAAACGACTATCAGTTGGTGCCTTTGGAAAGAGGGTTGAGAAGGGGATTGAGAGGTATACACTCCGGGTCTACGTTTGGGAAGATACCCCTGCTGTTAAGGAGGTAAGAACAGAAAAGAAAAGGAGAATTTCTCGATGAAGTTGCATTTAAAAATGATACAGGACGTGTAAAAACCGGTGATTTTAGGACACAGTGCAAAGTTTAGGCTTAATATGTTGGTTAGTAAACTCCTCGAGGTAAAGACAGGATTTATTTAAATTTCTTGCCGAGAGCAAGTTCTTATACATGGCTTAATATCCCATCTTACATGTTTGAATGCACAAAAGCGATACACAGTCAATGATTTTTTTTAACAATCAAAAGCACTCAACTTTTATTTCAGAGTGTACTGGCTAAGGAGAAGGCTGAGGGCGCTATCCCTTTAGACGATTTCAGACAGTTCGAGGTCGCTTGGTCTGCTGGCCACTTGCTTGTCAAATTATCGAATCTAGCTGGAAGTTGGAATATGCGGACGCGAACGGTAAGCAGTCACTCAAATTAATGTACTTAATAATGTACCGGTATGTTGTAAACTGTGCCCAGGTTTTTTATGTGTGATCTTTATTTAAGTGCACTAGAAGGTCGTCAGGTAGGACAGCGGCATAGCAAATTCGTTATAATCACTGAAGATTTTTTTTTGCGGTAGAATGAAATTGTGTTTCTGCCTTTGGGCGACATAGTATAATAATTGGTGTCATCAAGGGAGGTTTTGGGACACGCAACTGTCATTATTGTCAAAAGTGGCCCCATTATCGCTTCTTCTTGAGGGAAATACCTCCCACTATTCCTAGGAATGCTATTACTGCAGTGGCTCTGCAATCACACGCGCATTCTTCAGCTTGACCCGCGCGTTCGTAGCAAGACATGACATCCTATTGGTCGAGGAGGCATGTAACGCACGCGTACCACCTGTCCACGAGCGTTGTCACCTGCATGACTTCTAATTCTGGTTGCCGAAATGTTTCATCATCATGTGGTTTTGTGTCAACCTATTGCGCTATTAAATTAGACCTAAGCCTATGATCATGAACGATAATATTTTAAAGAGTATAATAAATTATATTTTGACCCTTCACTTAGTTTGGGCAATATCTAATTTGTAATTAGATATCTGCTTCTGGTAGGTACAAATAATCAACCAGGAAGCGATATGGAAGCAACCGTGGACATCCAGAACCTTTCACTTCAAGGCGCCTGGGTTCTTATGGCGTCTTCTTTTAGGTCGCGATCTGTTCTGTGACGTAGATATTTACCAAGGACATGAGCGAGCTGATTCTCTCAAAACCAGTCTGTCAGTGTATCCAGAAAACGCAACGGTGAGTGGCAAAATTTACACATGGGAAAAATGACAAAAACCGGAAACCTGGACTTTGCAAATACCTCTTTCGCACTGTGGTTTTAACTTTGATATGATTGTTTCACCATATAGCATTATGAAGGACCCTCCTATAATTTCTACCGTCTAACCTTACACGCTAATGGACCATTCGCTGTATACAGCTTTTGCAGTCAAGTGGCATCCTTTTATTTTCAAACGAGATCATCCTGATAACCAATCAGCCCGTTCGGTATTTCAAAAAGCCAATTTCCTTTGGGAACAAAGCGCGCGTGCGGGAGTCAGCGTACGACTGCGCTGATAGGACAAACTATCATGCGCGCAAGTATGCAAATAGCCTTGTACTGGTCGTGCGCTGGTGGAATACCGAAGTGGCTCATCCATCTCAGGTGGAGTATGTCAAATCATGCGCATATGCATTTTGTAGTTGGAGGTACAGATTCAATGTACAGAACTTCATTATGTCTCTGTATACGTCTTTCATTTTAGGCACCGGCTCGAGTTCCCCGCGATGACGTCAGGGTAAGATTAAATGAAGTACACTTTCAAAACACGTTTCCTACAATCATTTTTGCACAATAGAATTGATACAAAAACGCGTACATTTCACAATTTGTCAAGTTTATTTCGTTTTTTTTCTCGTCTTCTCATGAAGGCTGAAGTTGGTGCTGAATTCAGAAGACAAGCTCACGGTGTAGACAACATCATTGGCTACACTGGTTGCTATGGGTTACCAGAGCAAAAGCTGATGGACCTGTGTGAACATCTCGACGCAGACAGAGAGGATGGTAGGAATTGGATTGCACTGGCTGAATGGTTTACTTCCAAAGGTTATCGGTTCATCAGAAAAGCTG